GGTAAAGGGTAAACGTCTTTTTTGGTAATTTTGTTAAGGTGACGGTAATCGACACAAAAGCGCCATGTTCCATCTTTCTTTTTAACAAGGACGACTGGAGACGCCCAGGGGCTGCATGAAGGCTCGATAATGTTTTTCGCAAGCATTTTGCCAACTTCATGTTGTAATATTGCACGCTCCGACGCCGACACACGGTAGGGGCGTCGGTGAATGGGGGTTGCATGGCCAGTATTTATGCGATGGGTGACAATGGTCGTTTGGCCTAAAGAGTTGCTGGCAAAGTCGAAAATGCTACGATAGCCCTCAAGAACGTGGCAAAGCGCTGAAGCTTGCTCAGACGTGAGGTCCGATGACACCATTCGCTCAATGTCGGCACCCCAAGAACGTGATGGAGTGGAACCACTGACTGAGCTGCAGCAATCGTCAACTCTGAAGGGCTCGACATGGTCATCTTGGAGAGCAGTAATTTTGGCCAGGGAGATACCCTGTGGCAGAACTTGTGTGGTGACTGAAAAGTTGACCAGTGGAAGGAAGGTGCGGTTTCTCTTAATCGTCAGAATCATATGCGGCACAGCAACCCCATGCGTAAGCATCACTGCAGGAATCGGGGCCACCATGTAATCACCATCAGGTACTGGCGGCGTGGAGGATAAGTCGACATGTGTGACGGAGTTAGGAGGGAGACGCGTGAAATCAATGCAGCAGAGGCTGGTTTGCGGTGGGCTAGGCGGGTCGGAAAAGAGGGGTAAATCGAGATGGAGAGAGCCAGCTGAACAGTCTATGAGGGCAGAGTGCGTGGCTAGAAAATCCATACCGAGAATGAGTTCATGAGGGCAATGTTCGATAACGGCGAAAAGAACGACAGTGCTTCTCTCCCCAATAGACACTCGCGCAGAGCACATGCCAAGAATTGCGGCAGTTCCTCCATCGGCGACTCGTACAGCTCGGTTGAGGGCGGGCGTGACAACTTTTCTAAGTCGGCGGCGAAGGTTAGCACTCATAATGGACACATGCGCACCAGTATCTATCAACGCACTGACACGAACATTGTCGACAGTAACGTCCAAAAGGTTCCGGTTCGTTGTTAACGTTAATCGAGGATTTCTTACGAAGGTCGTCAACGCAGCTCCACCTCCAGAAGCTGCACGGCCTAGTTTTCCGGTCGGAGATGCTGCGAATAGGTCGGGGAGGCAGCACGGCGTTGTGGGGGCGACCGGGACTGACGACGAGCAGGGGACGGTGACCGGTCGTAGCGAGGTCTGCTGAGAAGTGCTGTAGGAGCGGAAAATGTGGTCGGCGTTGATGAAGAAAGTGATGGGGACGATTGGCGAGCAGAAGTGGTGGGATACTGAGGTGCATAATGGGACGGTGGAGCCCAGCGGCTGCGGCAGTGACGTGCGATATGACCAACGCGTCGACAGTTGAAACATATGGGCCTATCATCAAGGGTACGCCATTGGGACGGATTGCGTTGTATGCGAGGAGCAGAAGGGGGACGAAAAGAAGGTGCAGCAGAGTATACGGCAGGTACAGAATGTAGGCCGACATTCGATAGCTCTTGACGAACGACGGCTTGTATCAAAGAAATCGTGGTCGGGGAAGGCGTAGGCGTCGGTAGTGGCGTGGCTACCGGTTGTGCTGCCTCGACCTCTCGACGAATGATGCGTGTTAGGTTGTCACATGGAGGGGCCTGGTGGAAGACGTCGTCACACGAAGAGGTGGCCGCTGTGTTCGGAAGGCGCACGATGTTTTGGGCTACACGGCGGGCTTTAGCTTGTTCGAGACGTCGGCATTCTTTAAGGATGTTGTCGATGCTCGAGATGTTGTTAAAAACCAGCAGGTTGAAAGCATCATCGGCTATGCCTTTCAAGACGTGGTTAACCTTTTCGTCTTCGGACATGGACTGGTCGGCCTTGGAACAAAGGGCCAAAACGTCAAGAATGTAGGAGACGTACGATTCGGTAGAAGACTGGGCCCGTGTGGCAAGAGTCTTCTTCGCAGCGAGCTGACGACCAGATGAATCGCCAAACAGGTCACGTATCTTTTCTTTGAAGAGATCCCAGCTCGTTATGTCGGCTTCGTGGCTTTCAAACCATGTTCGGGGAGTGCCGTCCAGGTAGAAAAGCACGTTGGCGAGCATGAGCGTGGGATCCCAGCGGTGAGTTGCACTGACGCGCTCGTACCGCTTCAGCCAAGTGTCGAGGTCGATCGTACCATCACCGGAGAAAGTGCCGGGATCCCGGAGGTGCGGGAGTGTGACGTAGGTGGTGGCTTGGACTGACGAGGGCGGCGTAGAGGAAGTACCAGCAGCCGAAGCAGCCGAAAGCTCACCGATGGTGCGACCGCTGCGCGTCTCCATCGAGGTACAGGGGTCGTCCACCTCCAGCAATAATGTTACGAGTAACTTCTTTAGTGATCTATTTACAGCGCACAGAACTCGACGAGTAAGATGGCGCCAGACCAGCATCCAACGGAAAAACCCACTTCGTCCTCCTCTTTCTTGCAGCCGTGTTTTGCCGCATTTTCGTATCAATATTATTGTTAACTTCGAATCGTGCATTTTGGAAGACAAACATGTCACGTCATCAACTTGTAATGGCGTTCTAGAATGCACAACTAATGGTGCCTGACACTAATGTTTTTTCGAGGGGTCCAGAAAGCTGGGACGACGTGCATAGCATTCAGCGGATTTCGGAGGTGCTGAATGTCGTGGGAAGGAATCCTCGCGTGGGGGCCAAATTTCGATGCTTGCCAACATTATTGCGCCGAGTAGTTAGACTAAAGTGTATGCCTATAAAGTGCCTCAGCTGGTAATGAATTCCGATACCCCTTTAACGCAAGTTTTGAATCAACTTAACCCCGGACCATTTTCTGTGCAGAAGATACTAGGACCATGGGCATCTGCCTCAGTTGCGCAAAAAGCAACTAAAGCACTGCTACTTTACCTAAAGTCAACAAACCTGAGCGACCGCCTGTAGACTGTGTGTGCTCCGCGAGTGTGCTCGTGATTGTGTGTACCTTCTCATCTCTCTGCAACCTCTTTTCTCCCCTTTATCCCTTCCCCAGTGCAGGGTAGCAAACTGGATGTGCGTCTGGTTAACCTCCCTGCCTTTTCTAGCATCTTTATCTCTCTCTCTCTTTAACGCAATACAACGGAAAAGCTTGTTTCGGGGAAATTACACGGTTGGTGCGGGCGTTGGCATAGGCGTCCTTGGTTGTGAGAAAAAATCAGTGTTATCTGTGAACGAAAGTTCTAAATAAGTGCTAATAAATAAATAACGGAAAAAATTACTTCATCCGTAGCGTGAATGTAATCCAGGCCTTTTGCGTGGAATGCAGGTACAGCGGTGAGCACTGTTACAGGGTGAAAACGCAATCGCGTGGCCGCTCTTCGCGCAGCGCCGGTGTGCTGGCGTGCATCGAGGCGTATCGACGCATGCGCACACGGACACCCGGGAGCTGCTCTCCATCGTCGGCTGCACCACTTGAGCGTGCCCTTTCGTAGTAGCCAAGCGCCCGTCTCGCTCGTCTGTAGTGCAACAAGAGCGGCGCGCATGCTCGCGTACGCCTGCGCCGCTTTGATTCGATGCGCGGCCGCGCCGGCTGCACTGGCGCTCTGCGGCAGTGCAGCTCTTTCTGTGTCGTCTTTTTTTTTCTCTCTGTCAACCTCGCGCCACGTATTTCAACGCTGAGCCGTGTTCACTGCTGTACCAGTGCTCACCACTGTACCAGTGCTCACTGCTGTACCAGTGCTCACTGCTGTACCAGTGCTCACCGCTGTACCATAGAGCGTTGGCATTTATAGGATTTGTCTCCGAAAGAAAAGTGAATACAAATATAAAGTAGTGCGGGGAATCGGAACGCATGTAATGTTGCGTGGTAAAAGCGTAGAATTGCACCAGGTGTCAAGGAATGAAATTTGCACAACGAATAATTGTATTAAGGAACAACCCATAAGTAAGAGCCCAGAAATAATAAATCATCATCATCAGCAAAAACGTCAACATATCGAGCAGCTGCGTAGGTTGTCGTGCGGCCTTGCGGATGCCTACACAATAAAACTTTTTGCACCCTTATGGATGTAAAAAGGGTGTTTTTCAACTTTACACTTTTTTCGAATTGATGTAACACCCTTTTCTTTGCTGGTACATCCTGAGAGAAGGGTGTAAGTGGCATGAGGGTGTTATTACGCTGTTCGTGAGGGTGTTGAAAAGCTAAAGGGTGTACACCTATAATTGCAATAAATACTGTTCCGTTTAACGTCCCAAAGTCATGCATGAAAGCGAGCAGCGAGATCAGGCGCTTAGTCCTCGTTTGTGTCCCATTTCTAAAGAGCTTCACCCATCTGTTGTAATTGTACACGGAACTGCTTGTTTTTGTATTTTTTTTCCGATCGCCTTGAACACCCCATGTGTTGGTCGTGCTGGCGCTGTCATGGCCGGTTTACAACGGATACGCGACGCACGCTCTGAACATAAAAGCGCACCGCAATTTCAGTTGTTCGCCTGTGCCGCTCCAGTGTGCCGTTCACGCAGTACGATCTGAGAAGAATCTAGGAACAATATAAAAACAAGTAGGAAATTTTCGCTACTAGAAGAAAGAAAATAAAGAGGAAATAACGGAATGGAGGTTAACCATGGGTGAGCCTGGTAGGCTATACCTTGCAACGGCGGAAGCGGTAGGAGAAACGAAAGACAGAGAGGAGAGAAAAGGGGTTTTCGCCTAGTGCCGGCATGTGAGGCAACTCTATAGAGCGGGTCGAGTTTCGAAAACTCGCATTGCAGTGCATACACCCAACGGGAACCACGGCTCTGAAGAAGATAAGTAACTCTTCAAAGGACGGCGTTATCTGATAGCGCTTATCAGCGCCACTACTCTAGCGGCTACAGGAGAGGTGCTGGTGCGCCGTGACGTCGTTATCGGAAGCCACGTGACTCCCAGCAAACTGTTGCTGCTCTCCGTGCACGATTTCATCAAGAGCAGTGCGTATTTGTCCAGTGGATCGCCGCCATGCCGGATAGCGGGGGTCGTCAAGCTCAGCACCGACTGTGTGACTCGGCGAGCGGCGTTAACTGGCGCCCGACGCGTTTCCAGGACGAGTTGACGGTGATTCGCTACGCGTGCTGCGTGTGCCACGTCGTTCCCAATACTACGGTCGTACTGCCATGTTCCCACACTTTGTGCGAGCAATGTCTGACGGGGTGTATCGTCCAAGATGGAGGAAGCATCTGTCCCTTGGACGCCGACCCATTCTGCGAAGACGAGTGCCAGAAGTTGAAGCTTCCTGACCGAAAGAAAACGAACTTGAAGGTGGGTATGTAACAGGCACCCCTGGCGTTCTTCTTAAAGTTGAGGTAGAGTGATATGCGACACTGGCAAACAACGTCATTCGTATTTCTCTGTAGGCTTCCGACGTCACGCTTGCAAAGTTCTGACCGGGTTCTGTGCGTACTCCACTGCTAATATACGATGATAATACATACGATGGTGTGAAAATAACGTACGTGTTTTTTCTCGTTTGTTTTTCTGAGAGCGCATCTGTAAACACCCCGTTATCCCCCCTGCGTGGTTCTGTGACGTCTGAAGTCAGCAGATGCTTCGTGTTATACTTCACAGGAATAGAAAATATCGTTTGAATGACAAACGAGGGATCACACTTGCAATACATTTAAAACTGACAGTGTTATCTGGTAATTAAAATGATGCGCGCATTGCGCAACAGTTATCAGTCTATGAACCTTGCATAAGAAAGGCGTAGCCTGGGGGTGAACAAGAAGGCGTATATGAAATCAGTATTGTTGCACTGCATAGGCCATTCATATCAAATGCTCGGAATCGGTGACAATACTCGGCGACTGATATAGTCAGTGGTGATAGCAGTGCGCGCAAACCAATTTTTTTCTCCACAAATCAATTGCCTATGTTATTGACATTGAGTGTATTGTGGCCTTGGGGGTCATTTAGCAAGCACCTGTCGTCATTCGGCATGGTAGCCAACCAGCATCGACAATGAGCATAGACTACCCGATATTAGCTATCATTCAGCCATCACTAGCAAGTATTATAGATCAGTAGCCCTAAACGGCTAACACTAATTGTCGAAAAGTTAAAAGTGCGAATAGTATGCAAGAAATCGAGGTAGCGTAATTGAGTAGAAAATACTTATTATACCTTCATAAACACGTACGTTAAGACAAGTGATGGCCATGTCTTCGTTAAGTTATAGGGGGCTCGCGAGGCGGCTGTACTGGAATTCCTCAGAGATGAAAGCGAGATGCCGCAAGACACGCTTATATTCGTGGAAGCTTCGGCCCCTAGTACAGGTCACTAGCCGCTGATTGGCTTGTTTGGTGGGCCCAAGAGGAATGGCTCATCCCACCACGGTGGATGGGACATGAATTGCGCGGCGGTGTGATTTTGGGGTAAAAAAAAGGGGGGGGGGCGGACGGAATAAATAAAAAGATTTTTTAGGTAAAACAAAAAAGAGTAGTTGTGCTAGTCGACTATTATTATTCGTTGCCATGACCGCCTTCCTCTTGTTCTACTTCCGGCACGCTCGCAGCTGCCACTCCCCACAAATATCAACCTTCCTGTATTTTAAGCATTGTTCACTGCAGAGACAGCGCTTTTCGGAGCCAACCTCCTTAGGTAGGCACCCCGCTGTCACCGTCGCTGGGCAAAGCCTCCTTCGTACTAAAGACAATGAAGTGGTCCATCAATGTGAAACACCTGCGCCGGCGTTGCACAAGGACTCTGAGCATAAGCAGGCGCACCCCTTCCCACCGGTTTCACTCTCCCCCCCCCCCTTTTTTTTTTTGACCACAGCCCCCGCAATTACCGAGCGCGTGAAACTCGCTTCGCCCAGTCGTCACCACAGTGCTTGGGCTGAGAGAGAGAGGAGATAATGAAAGATGAATTGCGCCACTGACGACCTACTCAACCGCTCCGCCCCCGACCGCCTTCGTGAAAGTCAGCAGCGAGGTCAAACGCGGAGACCTTTGTGTACCATTTGACTCGTTCGCTGGATTCCGTGCTGATCGGTTGTGCCCTCGCGATTTCCTTCGACACTGCAGCTTTGGCCGACTGGGCTGGTCCAGACGCCGGTACCCTCCAGACGCCGGTACCCGACGACGATGACAGCGTAGCTCTGGCCGACTGGATTAGCCCTAAGCCGTCTCCTGTCGCCGACAAGAGCTCTCGCCAGTGGTGCCCCGTCCTCGGACTCCTGCGACCGTGTCCATCTTTCCTGTCTTCTCCTTACTTCCGTCGTTCGCAGTCCTTGCGCCTTGCTCTCTCCTTCCTCTCTGTATATCTCTCTGCCTTTTAATCCCTTCTCTAACCCCTCCCTCGTGAGCTACTGTTGAGGTGTCGTCCCCCTGAAAAACATTTACGAGGCTAACTTTTCTCTTTTTTAAAATCAATCCCCCCCCCCCCTTCTCCGTACCAATCCTAAGGAGCTTCGCTAATCAGCTGTATTCGTGCACGGAACCACTACTACTTTTTCTAGCAACAAAGCGATCACAGTAACAACAGTAAAGATTACCCAGTCGACAACCTTAGTTTCCACGGTAGTGAGACACTCATGGCGAATTCCACTGGGAGCTGTCGCCGAATTGCTGGAGCGACCAATCGAATTACGCCAAGCCAGATCTGCGAGTGGAACACGTCATTGCCCCGCCTGAGGTCGCACCGAAAGTTGTTTGCACGTACGTCACTAAACCAGTTCCGAAAACTTCCTCCACACAGCCGATTATCTTCCGTCGAGACTTCGGCCATGCACAACGCTCGTCATCCTCGCTGCTGCTACTGCTAGCAAAAGGAGTGCTGTCGCTCGAAGCGAGAAGCAAACCAGCAGGAGCACGTCCAGCAGCATCAAACAACGCCATTCTAGAATGGCACACAAGTGCACAGGGCTCCGGCTTAAAAACAGAAAAAAATCGACTGATCCCACGTACAGTGGGAATCGATAATATGCGATGCATAAATGAGAAATGTTGATATGTCACTTTAAAATCAGCAGAACGTTACGAAGTGGAGGTAAGTGATGCCGTACATGGCTTCCGTGTGTTGATTGTCATGTTTGGATGTGTCATTTACCTTCGTCATCTATTCACGTCACGTGATATCAAATTTAGTATATGTGGAGCTAGCGAAACGGCCGCGAGCACGCTATGAGCGTGGTAGGTTGTCATGTTCTTACATGACACGCGTGTCAGGATTATAATGTTTGCACCTGTCATATATTTCGTCATCTATTGACGTCACGTAACACAAACTTGGTATGTGTGGAGCTAGCAAAACGGCCGTGAGCACATCATGAAGGGCCCATTATACTCTAATGTAGCGTTGACGTGAGCGCACGCTGGGCACTGCGACGCTACGTTAGCAAAACGCGAGCACTCTATGATTTGACGCCGGACGCGACCAGCGTCCGTCGGCGGGGCCCGATGGCAACCGGTGCAAAATGTGACATGCTGTGTTTCGCGCCGATGCGTTACCAAGATACCACTGCATCTCCCTCTTTTCGTCACGGAGGGACACCAGATGCGCTGAAACGCGCATGCGTCAAAGCAACGCACCACGGCGCACGTTTGCGAATATATTGCTGGTCCGGCTCCTGGCTTTACGCGACGAGATGAACGCCGGCGAGCACGCGTACCGAGTCACGTCAAAATGTAATGACGCTTTGACTGTGTCATGTAGCCATGTTCTCACATGACACATCTCATGATTATCATGTTTGCACCAGTCACATACCCTCGTCATCCATTGACGTCACGTAATACCGAATTTTGCATAGGTGAAGCTAGCAAAACAGCTGCAATCACATCATGAGTGCGGCACGTAGTCATGTTGTTGCATGACACGTACCTCGTGATTATCATGTTTGCAGCAGTCACAAACCTTCGTCATCCATTCGCGTACTGTAATACCAAATTTGGTATATGTGACGCCAGCGAAACAGACGCGAGCACATCATGAGCGTGGCATGTAGCCATGTTACATGACATCACGTCAAGATTTTCATGTTAGGTTCTGTTGCTTGTGTTCACCATGCAATCATGCCATACCATACTAGTTTTGCAACATGCCATGTGAACAAAACCACCGCAAGAGCTGCACGATCATGAAATGTAAATCATGACATTCAAGACATACATATCATCATTTTCATGTTACGACTAGTCAATTATGTTCTTCATAGAGTCATGTTATGCCATACCAAGTTTGGTCTCGATACCATTATTGAACCGGCCAGGAGAGCTAAAAGTCGTAGGTGGCTAGATAGATACGCCCAAAGTTGCTGAAGTTCGCTAAGAAATGGTTCGCATTTAAAACGCTGAAGGCAACAGCGCTGCTCGACTGCACCGAAAACGATGGCAACTAATTCTCGCAGTTCCGGTGAAATCTGCTTCTACAAGATGAAACATGCGGAACGTTTCGTCACGGAGTGGATCATACTCCTATTCTGCCAGTGGAACACGCGAACTTGCTCCGAATCTAAATGTACCAGCGGTATGGAGATCCTCGGCAGCGGAGCAAGAAAACTTGCTCCCGCTCGACAAGTGGAATTCGTCATTAGTTCATGGTAGAAAATAGTTCATAGTGGCTAAGGTACTCGGCTGCTGACCCTGCGGGTCAGCAGCCGAGTACCTTAGCCACTAGGCCACCACGGCGGGGCAAGGGTTTTTGTCTAGGTCTAATAATATTTTATTTAGCTACATCTTCAGTCAATGAACGTGTTCCGAAAAAATGTACAGTTTACGACGATGGGAATACAACGTAAAGCCTGGTGTTAATGTCCGATGCTTATTAAAATTGTTATATACGAATGGCATCTTTCATGTTCGTATACTACCAGAGCTTATCAATATTAAAGTTGACCTTTGGCATTTCCTTCATGTTTCACCCTACAGGCTCACTGTTGGAATGAGGCTGACGGCTGCGAATTCGTAGGCACCATCGATGCCGTGCTGCTCCACTTCGACAGTGAATGCGCCTTCCACGCCGTCCAGTGCTCGCGTTGCGAACGAAGAATGCTGCGCACACACATTGCAGCGCACTACATCACCGGGTGTTCCAGGAATGCTTCGAGCGCAAGCGGTACTCAGGCGCACAAGGAAGCTGGTTCATCTTCAAGTTGCGACACGAATGTTATTCTGGACAAGTTCGCCACCCTTCTAAGACAAATGAACGACGTATCTGCACGTTTGCAGGACGTCAGCAGCGCAATCAGTGGCGTTGAAATCAGTCTTCAGCGTGGAATGGAAAGCATCGAGAAGAACATCTGCACGACGCTCGATCAACGACTGAACGCTGGTCTGGAAGAACTGAGGGTGTCGAACCCGTGCGGTGATTACCTGTCATCACTTCAAAGCCAAATAAATGAGCTTGTGGAACAATCTAGGCAGCGCGATGCGTACCAAATACATGAAATTGGACGTGTGCTCACATATTCCCAAATAAAAGTGAAAGAAGATGTGAAGGTTCAGTTGCAGGAGATAGTACCTATAATAAGAGTGCTCGTATCTGAACTGAAGGACGACGTGAAGACCCAGATAGGGGAACTTATTCACGTGACGAGAGACTCAGAAGGCGAGTTGAAAGAACATGTGAGCAGAGTAGTCGAGGCCCGTATCTCTTCGAGACTCGCAGATCAACAGCATTCTTTACCAGGAGCGCCGGACCGTTCGATTAAGGGCAGATCTGTGCGCCACCGCGCCAGGCCACCGCCGCCTTCCGCTATTTCTGACGCCGTTCGCGCCGCCGCCGAAGGTCCGGAGGGAACCACGGCGCAGCCGCCGCCCGTTGTTGTTCGCGCCGCCGCTGAAATTCCGAGAGGAACCGCGGCACCGCCACCTCCCGTTATCGCTCACGCTGTTAGCGCCGCCGCCGAAGTCCCGAGAGGGAATACGCCGCCGCCGCCGCCACCTGCTATTGGTCGTGGCATTTGCGCCGCCGCCGCATTGCCGAGACGAACAGTGCCGCCGCCACCGCCAGCCGTTATTATTACTCACGCCGTTGGTACCGCCACCGAAGTCCCGAAAGGGAACGCGCCGCTGCTACCACCCGCTGTTGGTGATGTCGTTCGCGCCGCTGCCGCATTCCCGAGAGCTACTATGCGACCCCCGCCACCCGTTATCACTCACGCTGTTAGCACCACCACCGAAGTCTCGAGAGGGAAGACGTCGCCGACGCCACCCGTTATTACACACGCTGTTACCACCGCCGCTGAAGTCCAGAGAGGAACCAGAGCGCCGACGCTGCCCGTTAGTGTTGGCATCGCCGCCAAAGTCCCGAAAGAGAACACGCCGCCGCCGCTGCGCAATAATGGCCGCGTGCCTCCGTAAGTCTTACTTTAACACGAGCGGAGAACCTGGGCATAAAAAACATCTATCTATCTATCTTATCTATCTATCTATCTATCTATCTATCTATCTATCTATCTATCTATCTATCTATCTATCTATCTATCTATCTATCTCTATCTATCTATCTATCTATCTATCTATCTATCTATCTATCTATCTATCTATCTATCTATCTATACACGAGCGGAGAACCTGGGCATAAAAAACATCTATCTATCTATCTATCTATCTATCTATCTATCTATCTATCTATCTATCTATCTATCTATCTATCTGTCTGTCTGTCTGTCTGTCTGTCTGTCTGTCTGTCTGTCTGTCTGTCTGTCTGTCTGTCTGTCTGTCTGTCTGTCTGTCTATCTATCTATCTGTCTGTCTATCTATCTATCTGTCTATCTATCTATCTATCTGTCTATCTATCTGTCTGTCTATCTATCTGTCTATCTATCTATCTATCTATCTATCTCTATCTATCTATCTATCTATCTATCTATCTATCTATCTATCTATCTATCTATCTATCTATCTATCTATCTATCTATCTATCTATCTATCTATCTATCTACTATCTATCTATCTATCTATCTATCTATCTAACTATCTATCTATCTATCTATCTATCTATCTATCTATCTATCTATCTATCTATCTATCTATCTATCTATCTATCTATCTATCTATCTATCTATCTATCTATCTATCTATCTATTATCCGTCTTACTCTGAGTGCTCTCGTGATCACCGTTTAACTTAGCATAGACCGAAATTTATATGAGAGGGTGAGATAGTTTACCGAATATGTCTTGCTGGTCATGGCATGAATATTATCAAAATCCTGTTGCGTACGTCATTAATGTCGTCGTCCAAGCCTGTGACACATGCTCGCCTACGGGTATGTGCCACAGCTTATTGACAGTTAGCCCACCCAGGAACGTCGAGAATAAGCATTGGTAATTTGAACACAAGAGCATTAAAAAAAAGAAAGCTCAAATCGGCAGTTTTGACACCAGGAATGCAAAGAATAAATATCATGGCCCCAGCAGGAAGCCAAGTCAAGCAGTCTGTGTGGCAATAAAGTATTCTACCACGGAGGCACGCTAGGTCTCGATACTTTGATGGAAAAGGACGTTGTTCTGTTGTAATGTTGACGAAATGTCAATTGCAGTTGCAATGTATACTACACAGTTTTAAACATTAAATATGGACTGCTATAATGCAGCCATCACACCCAGGCTAATGTAAATTGCAGTGAACCGTTATCCACAGAGGTTGATTATGTGTTATTGTCCAGGCAAGCGTGACATAACAATTTACCGCTTTTGATGTGAACACTCATGTTACTTTTGGCATCAATATGCGAATATAAGAAATTGGTAATATAATTAATATGCGTCTGTTGAACATATCACAACATTTACACAAGTGTGTAGCAAAATTTCGTGACGGTTATTTTTTTTTTACAACACAAACACCTTCCCTCCGCATAACGTCGATTCCCAGGGTATTTGTGGGATCTGCCGAATTTTCAGAGCGGCGTTTGCAGTGTCTTGACGGCTTTCTTGTGCCCGCGTTTTTATGCCCTGTCTATAGACAAACTCCACCGAACCTACGTCACGAAAATGCGGTGGTGCTGTCTTGGTAGGCTAAAGAGGCTCGGCCTGCCGCCGTATCTGCTGGGTTTTCAATGGTGCTTGTGGTATTCTCGGTGAAGCAACGAGAAAAAAAAAACGGTATGCCGATGCGCTGTGTCGTGGTTGGATGTGAGTCGCGTCTCACAACTTAGTTTTGTTTGTAGGCATACATCGCAGCCCTCAGGGCTTATGGCTTTTGCAACGCGTCTCACAACGTCTGTTTGTTGGCACACACCGCAGTCCTCAGCACTTATGGCGGTAGTTACGTGTGGACGTCGCTATAATTTTACCCATAATGTTTACATCGCCCAACCTGTGTTTAAAAACGTGGAATGTGTCTATACAAGGCCCTAAAACAGCTTCTGACCGCACACAATACAATCGAGCACGTCGTTCTCTATTGGCGTGTCTCTCGTTTCTTTTTCTCGCGTTTTGATTCCAGATTGGGGTTTTTCCGTGATATTAGGACACATACTCTCGAATGGCACACATATAAGAAATGTAAGTTGTGAACAGTCTCCAACTCTGTTTTGCCATGTTTTCCCCCACCCCCCCACCCGCTCTTGTTCATCTCGCATGATTCCCGCGCGTGAAGAACTTGTGATTTCGCTGAATTTTGCGAGTTTCAGATTGCGCAAGCGAAAATAACAAGAGTGTGCCCAACGAAATCGAAATTCTGATATACTCAACGTTAATAGCATCCACATTGCACACAGAACCTTCAGAAGATGATACAAATGTTATAATTTTCCGTTGCTTGCAACGTGTTCGGTTTTTACTGCTGTGTGGTGTTTTTTGCATTTTCTTTTAGGTGACGCTTCACCTATATATCAGCCGTTTTTTCCCGAATAAATGTTAGTTGCGAGTCAACGCTTGTCTGTGTTCTTTTACTTCGCCCTCGTCTCTTGTGCGTTGTTCAACAAAGATGAACGCATACCAACTCACTCAAGCTTCCATTCTCTTGCACATGTGTTTTATGAAGGCAAAAGTGTGGAAGAGGTGTAGCCTGTAAGAATTGTAGTTAACGGGCTGATGTGAAGTGTAGTGGAGAACGCAAACAGAGGCAGAGGTGCTGCATTGTTTCATTTTCCCAAAGGAGGAATTTATCACAGCGAAAACGACGCAGGCAAAAAAAAAAAAGCCAGCTAGATGCCACATACAGGCCGAGCGAAACGACAACGCTGATCACACAAACTTGCGGTAATAAATTGTTTTATTGCGTGCCAATCGAAGTTTGCATGAAATAAAGGTCACGTAACTTACGTTTTAGCATGTATAGGAGTGAACAGTATGCAATATGCGTTCATGTGCAGCAAGGTACGTACTACGCATAGCTCCAATGCAGGTGCCCGGAGCACTGAAGCTGTCCCGCGCTGGCTGATTATCATCGCACTCCACAAAACGTTCGTTACAGTAAGTAAAGGTATACTGATGACGTTCTAGCACATCTGTAGCTGAAGATGTCGTAACACCTCGTTAACAGTATTCGGCAAACTTTCTGTAATTAATACAAACGTATCCACTAGCCTCTCACGAGCAGTGCGACACGACTGTTTGTTTCCTGGTCCGCGCTGCCACCTTAAGTGCGTCCCTTTCAAAGTTTCCAGGCATTCAAACCACGCATGCTTCTCAATGCCTGAAATTAAATGAGAGACGGTCTTTTATGCTTGCCATTTTGAAGCATTAGAAATAAAATGTCAGCAAGAAAAAAAAAGAGGCTTAGATGGTGCTTGTTTCCCGTCACCGGCGGTGCACTGTCGTCGTTTCGATGGTGGTGACGTCTCACGGCGCGCAAGCGAAGCTCGCAACACGCCACGGGCCTGCTTCCGGCGAGGGAGATGGCTGCAAGAGTTCCTCGGGTGGAGGGTTGCTGAAACAGCCCCATGAAAGATAAGAAGCTACACAAGTGTAGTAACTGCGACCTAGCACAGGCAGGACAAGACCATGTCCTAACAAAGGAGCAAAAGCGAGCGTGGGTACGCCATCTGGCGGTTGGTCAGACTCTTCCATGCGGGGCCGCGAAAAGGCCCCAGTGGCCACTCTTTATATAGCATATTTCTCTACCTGTGCGCTATTTCAGGAGGCATATGCAAATAGGCCGTGTACGTTTCTATACGCTTTGATATCGCTGCACGAACTGTGCTGCTTCCGGGAGCGGCCATATTCCGGGAGTGGCCGTATGGAGCTTTGAGGGATCGGATGAAAAAGATTTAGTTGCAACCTTAGTTCGTTATGGGGATACGTGCTCCTGTCGCACGGTGTAAAATGTGATGTCATCGGCGGCTGCATTTTCTATGGAGCCGAACATGTTGTAGGCCCGTGTGCTCTGATTCGGGTGCACGTTAAAGAACACCAGATGGGCGAAATTTCTGGAGCCCTTCACTGCAGCATCTCTCATAATGATATGATGGTTTTGGGACGTTAAACCCAAAATATCGATCAATCAGGCTGTTGAAGTCGCCTCGAACTTTATCTATTCTCCCAAAAGATCTGTGAATAAAACTGTTTCAATCTTTTTAAGGTTAATGACACCTTGGTATTGAACACTTCGGCGTAGCCTTTTGAGGAATTCGAATTTTATAGCGAATTTCGCAATGTAGATGCGCTGCTTCTTACGTTTTGTGACATTATGCGTAAATGGCTACCATTGCTTGTGCCGCAAAAATATAAAAAATGGAACTCAGAAAATCTATGGCACAATAGAGAAATAATTAATCTCACTCGTCACGTAAAACGCATATGTAAGAATAGTAGTTTTAAGTTTAATGATATTGTTTTTTCTTTAGCGTATCGAAGATATAATTCGGAAGCTCATAAAAAAAAGGCGAAGGGCTAACTTTAGCAATGCCTTGATTACCTTTACGAGAAAGAAAAAAAAATCTATTAAGGTCCAAGATATCGAATAGCTCTGCATCGTCTATGCATTCATCCTTTATTCTTGAAGACTAATGCTCCTCAAGCCGTGAAGCTGTAGCAAAACGTTTTATTATTTACTTCAAATATGTAATTTTCTATCGACAACGGCATCACTCGTTCATTTTCCGCGTGGATCAAACTAGCTGTTCTTCGTAATCTTGATTTAACCTCCTGTAGCTACGTTTTCGGAAGCCCACACGGTCTATCTTCGCCCAGAAAATCTGTCAAGCCCATAGTGGCCTTCTTGCGTGCGAGTGGCATACTGAAGAGGCTATAGCACCCCCGCTATTTCTGCTTTTTTTCTTTCGTTTTCACATCTACTTTTCTCTTTGGTCTCCTTGACATCTCTCTTTGCCCTTTTCCCCTCCTCTTAGTGCAGGGTAGCGAACCACATGCTTCTACTCTGGTTGACATCCCTGCCTTTCTCTTGATTAAGTATCTCTCTCTAGATTGATATGTAGGGTTTAACGTCGCAAAACCTCTGCATGATTATGAGC